ACCATAGTCTTTCCAATTTCCCTGCCTGTGGGAGTTTTTCAGCATTATATATTTTCCCTCAGATATGATTTACCAACATTCATTTGGCCCTTAAACTCTCCACAACAATGTTTTTCAAACTTCTCATTTCATGGCACACTTGGACCTGTAGTTAAACTTCCGTGGGACACTTAAATTATGTTGATCAAAAAGAAAGAGTTAAAAAAAAAAAATGGGTGGCGCCTGTGGCTCAGTGAGTATGGCGCCAGCCCCATATACGAGGGTGGTGGGTTCAAACCCTGCCCTGGCCAAACTGCAACAAAAAAATAGCTGGGCATTGTGGCGGGCGCCTGTAGTCCCAGCTACTCGAGAAACTGAGGCAAGGGAATCGCCTAAGCCCAGGAATTGGAGGTTGCTGTGAGCTGTATGATGCCACGGCACTCTACCGTGGGTGATAAACTGAAACTCTGTCTCTTAAAAAAAAAAAAAAGAACATATTTATTGGTCTTTGAACTTTCTTCGAAAGTAATTTAATTAATGACCTTTAAAATTTTCACAGCACACAAGGCACACTAGTGCACACTGGCTGAAAATCACTGCCCTAGAGAATAACAGAGAAAAGCCAGAGGTGCCTACCTTGCCAGCTACTATTGTCCCATTACCCATCAGTTTGAGAATCATTTTCAAGATAGTGTATCATGTAAGTTAGGAGCGCTTTAGGCCTGTGGTCCCCAACCCTGTGGTTGGTTAGGAACCGGGCTGCACAAAGGAGGGGAGTGGTGGGCAAGTGAGTGAAGCTTCATCTGTATGTACAGCTGCTCCTCTGAGCTCTGCCTCCTGTCAGATCAGTGTCCGCATTATATTTTCATAGGAATATGAATCCTACTGTAAAATACACATGTGAAGGATCTACACTGTGCTCTCCCTAAGACAATCTAATGCCTGATGATCTGAGGTGGAGCTGAGGGCATAAGTAAAACACTTCAGGTGTCACTGTCTCCCATCACTCCCAAATGGGACTGTCTAGTTGCAGGAAAACAAGCTCAGGGATCCCACTGATTCTGCACTGTGGTGAGTTATATAATTATGTCATTATATATTACAATCCTGAAACCATCCTCCCTTATCTCTGGTCCATGGAAAAATTGTCTTCCATGAAATTGGTCCCTGGTGCCAAAAAGGTTGGGGACTGCTGCTTTAGGCTATAATGAACAAAATACTTGATAATGCCTTAAATAATAGTGACGCTTATTTCACTTAACAAGAAGCCTGGAGGTAGGCAGGTTCAGAGATGGAGCAGCAGGCTCAGCGCCTGTGGCTCAAACGGCTAAGGCACCAGCCACATACACCTAAGGTGGTGGGTTCAAATCCAGCCCGGGCTCGCCAAAAAACAATGACAGCTGCAACCAAAAAATAGCTGGGTGTTGTGGCGAGCACCTGTGGTCCCAGCTACTTGGGAGGCTGAGGCAGGAGACTTGCTTGCGCCCAGGAGTTGGAGGTTGCTGTGAGCTGTGATGCCACAGCACTCTATCTAGGGGGACAGCTTGAGGGTCTGTCTCAAAAAAAGAAAAAAAAAAAAAAACAGAGATGGAGCAACAGTGAACAGTGTCAATTAGAACCTAAATTTTCCCCCGTTTTTCCTCTTTGCTGTCCTCAGTATAACCGTGGTATTTCTCCTCATGGTCATGGGCATCAACCATCATGCATGCCTTCATAATTTCTAAAGCAGGAAGAGAGGGGAACATGGACAAGCTCTCACTTTTTGTCGCAAAGCAACAGAATAAATTTCTTATGTCTCAATGGCCAGATATGGGTCACATGCCCATCCTTAGACCAGTCACTGACAAAGGGAAGGGGGTTTACCATGACTAGTGGGAACCAATCATGATTTATCCTCTGGAACTGGGCACACTGAGGGAGACAAAATCAGAGTTGTGTTAGGAAGAAAGAAGTCAGGATTGCAGTCATGCTAGCTGCTGTAACACATACATCTCCACATTTTATTGGCTTAATTCAACAGAAGTTAATTTCTCATTTATATAACAGTCCGGGGAGGATGTTCATGGTTAGCAGGTAACTGCTTCTGCAAGTTGGTTTTGGGAGCCATCTTGTGACTCTGCCTCCCCTAAATGTCAGATGGGGGAAAAGAGGATGAAAAAATCACATCTACTTAACACGTTGCTGACTGGTCACAAGTTACCTGATAATATGAATAGTTTCTGCATAAAATTGCTGGTCAACAATGCGTTAACATAGCAGCTGTTCCCTGATTCATTTCTCCCAGTCTCAATTCCCTGTTGTCCCAAATTCAGCCTATTTTATTCTTTCTCTCCTCCTCATCTCTCAGCTTCCTATAATTTAGAATCACTTAGCGCCTCTAACATCTTAACACATTGTTGACCGGCACTTTTACACAGAAACTATCCGTGTTACCGGGTAACTGGTGACCAGTCAGCAAAGTGTTAAAAATCATGGTCTATAAGTGACATATTTCCCCTCTGCTCACACCCCATTGATGAAAATTCATCACGTGGCACTGCCTGGGTGCCAGAGGAGCTAGGAAATGTAACCCCTGGCCAGTTAGCTACCTCAAACAACTCCACATATAAGGGAAGTGGCTGTTGGAGACGCAGTGAATTAATCTCTTTTAATCTCTTATATCCTTTAAAGGAACATCCAGTCTTTTCCAGACCTTTTTGCCAGTCAGTCCCCTCTAGGGTGCTGTCACCTGTACTTGAACATGAATCATTCTCTGAACACCATTTTTATTTACTTGCTTCTCAACCTTTGCCCAGGTAGTTCTCTTAGCCTAGAATTCCCTTCCAACTTTTCTTCTCTGCCTGGTGAACTCCTATTCATCCTTCAAAACTCAGATTAAAATAATCTCCTTTGTGGAGCCTTTTTCTTTTCTTTCATTTTTGTTTGTTTGTTTGTTTGTTTTGAGACAGAGTCTCATTATGTCACCCTTGGTAAAGTGCTGGGGGTCACAGCTCAACCTCAAACTCTGGGCTTTAGTGATTCTCTTGCTTCAGCCTCCCAAGTAGCTGGGACTACAGGCGCCCACCACAATGCCCTGCTGTTTTCTTGTTGCAGTTGTCATTGTTGTTTAGCGGACCCGGGCCGGGCTCGAATCCACCAGCCTCAGTGTATGTGGCTGGTGCCATAACCACTGTGCTACGGGCACTGAGCCATGTGGAGCCTTGTTCACTTTTTTTTTTTTTTTTTTTTGAGACAGGGTCTCACTGTCTCCCTGGGTAGAGTGCTGTGGCATCATCGTAGTTCACAGCAACCTCAAACTCCAGGGCTCAAGCAATCCTCCTGCCTCAGCCTCCTGAGTAGCTGGGGACTACAGGTGCTCACCACAATATGTGGCTAGTTTTTCTATTTTAGTAAAGCTGGTGTCTCACACTTGGTCTCCAGTTTCTGAGATCAAATGATCCTCCTGCCTCCGCCTTCCAGAGTGCTAGGGTTACAGGTGTGAGCTGCTGAACTAGCCTTCTTTTCCACTGTTTTACCCTGCTCAGGCTTCGTAGTAGCTTGAGGGCTGACTTACCACTAAATTCCCTAAAACATATAGCATACAGTAGGTGCTCAATTTGTGTACATCAGGTATGAGAATTCATTTGGTCTCAAGCAATAGGAAACTCATCTCAGATTGCTTTAATGGAATATATTGATTCAAGTAATTGGACGTGACCAGAGGTATCTTCAGGTTGGCTAAATCCAGGGGCTTGGATCATCCTCAAGATTCAGTCTCTCCCTTTTGTCTTCTCATATCTGTATTACCTTTATTCTCAGGTTCCCTGCAGAGGCAAGAGGGCTGTCAGCCACTCCCAACCTCATTCACCTAGGCTCAAGTGCAGGAGGAAACAAAGTCTTTCTCTTCCTTGAGTGTTCAAGCTTAAATTCTACCATGGAATGGAATGTGTGTCCATCCCTGAACTAATTCCAGGCCAGGGTGCTGGCACTCTGATTGTCCCATCCAGAGTCATATGCCCCCAAACCTGAAGCTTGTGGGGTATGGTCAGCCCCCTAGGGGAACAAAAAATATCCAGAAGGGAGGAAGGGTGTGGCTTCCCGTGGGAAATTCAGGGTATAAGTACCAGGAAATAGAAGAATGATGAACCTCTCTCAAACCCTTATAAAGGACCATGCTGGCCCTTTGCTATATTAAACAACCCATATCATACCATATCACCCCAGCCACTTTTTACTGAGCACTTACTATGTTCCAGGCACTGTGCTAAGGTGCAGTACACGCTCAACGATCTGCAAAGTAGCTTCTAGAATTTCTCCCATTTTCTAGATGAGGAAACTGAGGCTCAGAGAACCAAGGTTAGTAACTGGCCATGGAGGAATTTGAGCTGAGATCTGATGACAGACTCACTCAATGCCTTAAACCACCACCTTGTCGGGCTACTCAATGGTTGCAAAGTCAGAATTTCTGCTTTTGGGACTCAGCCCCCACAGTCTGAGAGTGGCAATGTGGCAGGTCTCATGGCCCCATAGCACTTGTGGGTTATTCCCTTCCTCTGAATACCTGTGGGTCAGATGAGGTTCAAGTTATGACATGATAAAAATGCTTTTCAGTACCACTGGCTCCTGCTCTAAGGTGGGAGGGTGCAGCTGAAGTTGGGCACATTTTACTTTAGCCCTATCAGGGGACATACCACCCTGATGCCATTTTGCCCCCTCTTTGGGAATACACGGAGCAGAAGGGTAACTGATATGCCAGAACCATCTGCCCAGCTCCTAATAATAAATGGTGAGAGGAACAGGTTCCAGGCAAACATTGCTCAAAAAGAAAAAAAAAAAAGTGCCTCTTCTCACACCCGGGCAGCCATCTGTGTGTCCTCCTCATGTGCCAAGCTGTGGGCGGAGGAGGGGATTGGGGACTCAGGGGAAGGGAGGAGGTGCCCGTTCTGTCCCCCACTGCCAACAGGCATGGCTCACAAGGTCTTTTTTCTTTGCCACTGTGGATAGGGCATTGCAGAGAGAGAGAGGGGCACGCTTGTGACTTTGACCTCCCTGGGGACAGTGTCTGAGCAGAGGGAACGTGTGATTCCGTCAAGATGCCAACGGTAGGTGATCGTTACTCCTGAGTACCCATATTAGCTCATCTAATCCTGACAACAAATCTATGCACACCCATGTTAGACATGGGAGGTTGGAGGCTCAGAGATGTACAATGACTCACCCAAGGTCACACAAGATGGCAGAACCAGAATTTGAGCCCAGAACTCCAAATAACACCCCTTTCCCCACATAGCAAAGCTGCCTCTTGAGTATGCAATAATGAGATCAACTACCTCTCCACGCTGGCAACCTGGAGTGGACTTTCCATGTAACAATTAGGCAATTGACATCACCCAAGGGGGTCTTTCACTTCCCGCCCTGGCTTAGCCTCCACTCCACCCTGCCCTGAGCTGACCTCTGGGCTTCTTTAGACATCTGACCCATTGCTGCCTCCCCTCCCTGCTTCACTTAGTTGAAGAAACACAGGAGAAAATCTTCCACTGCCGAGGAAACTTTGAAGTCCCGAGAACAGCAGGCTGAGGCAGAGCTTCGGAAGCTAAGGCAGCAGTTCAGGAAGATGGTGGAAAGTCGGAAGTCCTCTAACTTCCGTAACCAGCAGAAGATCATGAATCAGTAGTAAGTGAGCAGCGGAGTTTGTACTGAGGAAAGTTTGGGCTGGGTTTCGTGGTGCTCACCTGCTGTCTCATGTCAGTGAGCCACTTCTGAACCCAGTGTGGGGACTCAAGTTTCTAGTTCTGAGAGAAACCCACTTGAGATGGCTTTGGAGGTGAGGGTAAACTTCTCATCAGAATGCAGGGTGTCTTGGGGTTCCCTGGGGAGCAGGACACCCATATTTTAGGGAAGGAACTAGTTGAGGAACAATTTCTGGTTCCTCTTTCTCTCTACACATGACTTTTGTTCTTTGAATCTCAGGCCTGGCTTGTGGGAAACAGCTGCCTCGACTCCTGAGCTTGCCAAGCCACACAGAGAGACTGTGTTGAATTCAATTCCAAATTCCCAGGAGAGGGAGAATCTGGCTCCACTTGGGTCCAGTGTCTACTCTTGGGGTGATATTCTTGGCACCGAGGGCCTAGGACACGTGGCTTTGGCTGTCACTATTATGGTCCTATCACAGAAGTGGAAGAGTTCCTAGAGAAGGCAGGAATAACTGGGCTGCGGACACCCCAAGGATGTTTCCTATCTGTGTGTCCTTGTGAGAACTGCAAGATAGAATATTTGAAATTGGGTTGCCCTAGAAATTATGGAGTGTGTTGTTTCTTTGGGCAATTGAAAGGTATCCCTGGGGTTGAATAAATATCAAACAAGCATTCTTAGATTCCCTCCAAGGAAATGTAATTCCTTCACCATGTTCATATTATTTGTAAAGGCAGAAACTGTCCATTATTAGAAAGAAAATTCTTCCTGTTAGGTGATGTGGGAAATTTAGAGGATGTAGAAAAGAGATTCATTAGATTTTCCCTGGATTCAACTTACTCAGGGCCAAGACTAGTCCATATGAAGCCTCCTGTGAATTTTTTAAAAGGCACCCATTCTCAAGACACTTTACTGCCATCTGTTGGAAAAATTGTCATGTGGGAATTTTTGCTAGAACAAGAAAAAGTGGTTCCCAGAAAAAAGTAATAAATGAACAAATCAACTACGTGTTTCCAAGTAATGGCACTTCCTACAACCTGCATATCTGGCCGGTCTCTGGTGGGCATCAGGATGTGCTTTCTTCCCGGTGTGTCTCTGACAGTTTTTCTTGAATCTTACCCTTCCTCATCCCTACCCCACCCCGCAGGGTTCTGGCACTAAATCAATTTATTTCATCTCATTTCACTTAATGGAACTGAAAAAAGGAGCGGAGGAGTGGAGATTTTAGGTTCTTTATAGTGAAACACCTATGAATAGGGCCATAACTGGAGGTGTGGGTGCCTCGGGTGTGATATTTAAGGAGGTATTTTCCCCCAGGGCTGACTCTGCTTAAAACACTGAGAAAGTGAGTGCCTCCTTAAATTTGGAGTCTCCTTTCTGTCTTTATCCCAGTCCCAACCCTGCTACAAGACACACAAACATTCCTTTTGCTTTTATCAACCCTTCCTAAAAGCCTAACTCTGAGGGAGGGTTGCCCTTTCTCTCCCTTTTCTTCTTTCCACCTTAACAAAGACCCCTTTGCAGGAGGGATTTAAGTCCCTGCAGGCATGTTGAGAAGCCTCAGTGGTCTGGTCACTGGCCATATGTGGCCATTTAGAATATATTTATAATTAAAATAAATACAATTAAACATTCATTGCATTTCAAGTGTTCAATGGTTGCATGTGCCTAAGTGGGTTCGTCAGACCCCATAGATAGAGAACATTTCCATCAGTACAAGAAGTCCTATTGGAGGAGTGCTGCTTTAGAATGACCTATGGGATCAGTGAACTATGACCATTGGCCAAATCTGGCTGGCTGCCTGTTTTTGTAAATAAAGTTTTATTGGCTCACAGCTATTGCCTATGGCTACTTTACATTGGAATGGCAGAGTTGTTACAACAGAGACTGTAAGGCCTGCAAAACCTAAAATATTTACTCTTTGGCCCTTTATAGAAAAAGGTTTGCCAACTTCCACCCTAGAACATTCTTTGCTATTCTAGAGCAGTGCTTCCAAAACTTGAATATGCATGTGATGCATTCGAGGATCTTGTTACAGAGCAGATAGATTCTGATCCAGTTGGTCCTGGGTTGGGGCCTGAGATTCTGCATTTCTTCACGTTACAAAGCACATTGAGGCAGCTGGTCTGCAAACTTCACTGAGCGGTGGTGTCCATTCTCTGACTTTTCCAGAAACTCAGCCTCTGGGCCATTTCCTATTATTCAGTTGTTATGCCATCTTCCAAGTCACCTTTTCTCTTCTGAAGTCCTCTTGTTTTCCCGTATCCCCCACCCTATTTCTTCTCCAAAGCAGGCAGTGGAAGGGAAAGGAGGAGTCTCAGATCAGCCCATTTAATAAATCATTAGCGCCCCAGGCAGAGAAGCCACTGAAGGTTAGAGGTTATTGCACATCTCTGTGTTGATGCAAACTTGAATATCCTCCCTGATGGATTTGCTCCTCGTTACCAGGAAGGACGATCTACAAAATCAGACAGATGCCAGTGAGTGGCTGGCAAAAGAGAATTTGAGGGCTTCCTCCATGTCTAGGTAAGGGCTTTTGACAAGCACAGCTGCAAATTGCAGGAAAAAAATCCCCCACAGAGTAGTGGAAATTGCAGAGAACTGGGTCTTAGGCAATCAGGGCTCCAGACCTGGACCTGAGGGCTTGGGCAGATTCCTTTCAGCTGCTTGGGTAGGAGGCAGCCCTCTTCCCCAGTCTCCTGTCAGGGTTAAGATGCCTGGTGTGTTCAGTCAAGGTCAACTCAGGGGTTCAGGATTACTCACATGCTTCTTTCCTGACAGCAAGGAAATCAAGACCCTGAAGGCAGAGCAGGAGGAGATCGCCCTGCTTTTGAGTCTCATGAAGTCCCCGAAGAACATAGGTCTGAATGAGAAAAACTACATGGAGCTGCGTTTCCTGCTGCAGACCAAGGAGGACTACGAGGCCTTGATTAGATCCATGAAAACACTGTTGGCAGAGCTGGATGAGAAGGTACAGTCTTCTCTTAAAAGGTTAACCGGAACACAGAGCAAGGGGGAAGTGTTTGGGGTATCTGGTGATGCCTTAGGCCAGATCTGACACCCTGGTATCCTCATGACTTCCTGGGGTAGCCCTGTAAATGCCACTGTGGCTATTGTCTGCACCACCCTGTGACCTCTGGCTTCCCAGCTTCTAGGCTCAGCCCTATTGTTCTGTCCCTCCTCCAAGCTTCCCTTACACTTAGAACAAACCCCACATCCTCACCAGGTTAGTTAAGAGAGGCTAAATGATGCTATGGTAACAAACTCCACTCCTCCCCCAGTCACAGTAGTTTAAAACAATAAAGATTTCTTCCTTGTTCATGCTACATATCTGTTGTGGGTTGGCTGGGACCCTTATGTCTTCCCATTTGGGAAGAACATCAGTGATTTTTTTTTAAGTGATGGCATTTCCTAGGGCTGTGCCGTCCACAACCTGCACATTTGTGCCTGATGTCTCAGCAGGGTATTTGGCTATAGCTACCAACATCATTTTTTTAAATTTTTTATATTTTTGCCTTAGGAAAAAGTTGAGCTCCTGCTCTGAGAGAGAGGACAAGTAGTTGACTGGCTCTTTTCGGGAATATGGGGTGCCCAAAACCTATGAGACCTGAAATATCAGGTGGTTTAAACCATCTTCAACATTGCCAGGTATTATGGCAGAGAAAAAGAGTTCTGGAGGGTCTCACACTGGCAATTTGAATGACCCAGTCCTGGGCCCATGACACAACCCCTGGGCCCCTGACCAGTATTGGTCCGTGAACTGTTAGGAACTGGACCACACAGCAAGAGGTGAGGAGCACTCAAAGCAGTGAAGCTTCATCTGTATTTACAGCAGCTCCCCATCACTGCCTGAGCTCTGCCTCCTGTCAGATAAGTGGTGGGTTTAGATTCTCATAGGAGTATAAGCCCTATTATAAACTGTGCATGTAAGGGACCCAGGTTGTGCATTCCTTGTGAGAATCTAATGCCTGATGATCTGAGGTGGAGCTGAGGACCGAAGCAGCACATTTCAGGTGTCTCTGTCTCCCATCACCCCCAGAAGAGACTATCTAGTTGCAGGAAAGCAAGCTCAGGGCTCCCACTGATTCTACATTATGGCAAGCTGTATAATTATTATCGTTGCAATGTAATAATAATAGAAATAAAGTGCATAATGAATGTAATGAGCTTGAATCATCCAGAAATCATCATCCCCCCACCCCCATCTGTGGAAAAATCATCTTCCATGAAACCAGTCCCTTATGCCAAAAAGGTTGGGGACCGCTGCTCCAGTCACTTTTGCTCCTGACTCATGGGCTCTAAATAGTTCTATGACTCTACCCATCCACAAAGGGGTCCAGGAAGTACAACCCTCCCATGCATCTGGAAGGCAAACAGCTGGAGACATTTGCAGAGCAGTGTTCAGAACCACACCCCTTACTGTGGCTTGAAAGGCTTTGGCCCTTTCAAGGGGCTTTGGCCCCTTTGGCCCTCTAGCCCCTGCTTGCCCAGTAGCTCACCTCAGGGCCTTTGCACATGCTCCACCAGTCCTCCAGCTTGTCCTTCAGGTCTCAGCTTCAGTGGGACTTTCTCAGGGAGGCTTTTTCTGTGCCCTCTCCCCTTCTGTATCCCTCTTGTACCAGTCATGTTCCCAGCCAGGCACCCATAGCACACTCAGCAGGCTACACTCAGAAGAGTTTAGCGAAGGGACTCTTTACAAGGGTGTGGGCATGAGTAGCATGTGCAACAGTGGGTGAGGGTACAGTGGTCTGGAATCTGGAGAGCAGGGAGCCAGCCAGAGGAAATACATGCCCAGCTTCTCACTGTTCTGACCCTCAGTGCATGGGAGCCTCTTCAGGATCCCACCAGGCCAACCTGCTGGGGACAGAGCTGGGTAAAGAGTATGGCCTTTATCAGACCTCTAACCAGGCTGTCCACAAGGGCAAGGACTATGTCTGTCTTGCTCCAATGGTACCACCCCTGTCCCTAACCCATGCCTGTCCCTGTGCCTGGCACACAGTAGGTCCTCCATAAATATTGACTACTGTATGAGTCTGGAAATCTCATTCCATCTCTTCTGCTTCAAGCCCTACAGTAATTACCTGTTGCTCTTTCAACAAAGGCCAAACTCCTTAGCAGGGCATACACTGCCTGCTTCTTCCAGAATTTAATCACTTCTCTGATCAGTGGCCTTCTCCATGACCTTTGAGCCAAAAGTGCTGTCCCTCACTTCTAGGCCTTTGCATGTGCTGTTCCCTCTGCCTGGAGTGCCATTCCCTGTAGTCTCTGCACTTGGGGATTTATTTATCCTTTAGGTCTCACCCCAAATGCTATTTCCATTGGGACTTCATCCTTTGCCTCTCCCTGCTAGATGCCCCTACTGTGTATGCCCGAAAGCCCTTGCATCTGCCTTCCCTGAGGCCCATCATGGATTTTTATGGCTTGTTTCTAGTCCTAGGTTGTAAGTTATTTCAGGGCAGGGGCCCTCTGTCTTGGTTACCATCATCATCATGTCCCTATTGTCTGGCACAGAGCAGGTGTTTGCTGAACACTGATAAATGAGCAGCTGTATGAATGAATGAATGAAAGCAAGAGGAGGCAATAACTGTGAAAAAAAAGAGGAAAATCAGGAAAAGCTGGGGAAATGGGTCCTCACAAGCATTTAGAAAAGGCAACAGATGGGGATCCTCAAAAGAATATGGGGCTCACTGTCCAGTGCAAACTCTCTTTGCCCAGTTTCACCTCAGGGTGGGCAGATCCCAGAATCCCCTCCTCCTCTGCCTGCCACACAATGAGCAGACCCTAATCCTTGCGGGCCCCACTTAGCTCCACAAAATATTTAATAGTTAATAAGCCAATTGGAAGACAGCGTCTTGCTTAGGGAATGCATTTCCCCCATCAGCCGAAGCCCTGGATAATGTCTCCCATCAGGCAAAGGCCTAATTACTCTCAGCATCACAAAAGCAACGTCTGACATAAAGATGCCAAAGGGAATACAACTCTGAATTTAATCACAAGAACCATTGGGAAATGCTGATGCTGCAGCTTCTTTTGACAAGGAGCTGAAGCTGGAGGACTCCCAGGACCAGCTCTAGCAGGGGTGGGTATTCCTTCAGAGCCAGCGGTGGCACAGTTAGAGATGCTGCCCTTATGGACATTAAAATGAGTTGATTGTTTTATTTCATTAGTGAGTTAGTGAGGATTTGCATGGAGGATGCTACCTGTGCATAGAACAGGAAAAGGAAGTTGAGCAGGGAACCTAACTTGGCCGTGTGTCTCAGGGCTGGGAAGTCCTTTTGTCTTGCCTCAAGGGACACGCACATACGTGTGTGTGTGTGCATGCATGCATGTGTGTAGTGCACATGTAAGTGTTCCAGCTAAAGTCCAAGCCATGGCCAATATTAATCATAAATAGCATTCATTTGCTTCACTAGTTTGTGCAAGACCCAGCAGTTCCCTTGACCCCTGATCATCTGAGCTTGCTTGATGTATTAGTGAGAATGTGTTGGGCTGCAAGTAACAATTCTTGACTAGAAGTAGCCGAGCAGAGGCTTGTTTTTAATCACTAAACAAAACATCTGACTGGAAATAGACCATTGCAAGGTCTAGCAGCTTTACAATGATGATTTGGTCTCCCCCCTCCCCCTCCAATCCTTTCTTCTGGCCTTGTCCTCATGGTCATAAGATGGCTGCCAAAGCTTAGCAAGTTTCAGCTTTTCACATAACCATATTCACAGATGTAAAGAAGGGATGGGAGATACTGTTTCACAGAATCCTTCTAGCAGATTTCTTCGCACTGGCCAGGACTTCAAGGTCAATCAATGACAAAGGGAAATGAAATTCCCAAAATTGGCTTAGAGTAGACCAGGGGTAGCAAATTGTAACTCAAGGGCCAAATTCAATCTCTTTATCACCTTCTAGCAAAAGAATGATTTTTACATTTGAAATGGTTATTTTTTAGTGGTTATGTGAGTACCTACATTATAGCCTCTTAGTCCTTGAAACTTAAAATATTTGCGGTCTGGCCCTTTGAGAAAAAATTTTCCAAGTTTTGGCTTAGACCAGTGATGCTTTATCCCTCAGGGCCAGGATAGAAACCACCTTCCCTTTAGATAGAAACCCACTAAGAAAATGTTTTATCTTATGTGACAGTCACTAATCTTGAAGGGGACTTTAGATAATAGTTTTGAAATTTCTCTAGGGCTTTCTAGGACTTGGCACAAGCTAGCTGTTTCTGGATAGGGCTAAATATTGGGCAGGTAATAAAGATATTTGCCTGGGTGTACACCAAGGCCACATTGCAGGCTGGCTATGCACACAGCTGGTAGTGTGGAAGTGACTTGTATGAGAAACTATGGAGTGAGGTTTCTGGGACAGTGGCCCTGGAGAACTGGGCTTGAGGTACAAGGACGAGAGATGCCAAAATTTTCTCTTACCAGGCATGGCAGGTTGTATTTCACTTATTTGAAGTCAGGGTCAATTATCATAATGGGTGAAATGGATACTGTGTCAGTTAGAAATGCTTTTGGCGGCAAGTAACATAGTACCCAAGCAAGAGAGGCCTGGACCAAAATGTTACTTATCAATTTTTAAAAGAGATGTATTATTTTGGAATGCTTTTAAATTTACAGAATGGTTACAAAGATAGTAAGAGAGTTCTCATATACGTTTATCCAGCTTTCCCTAATGTAAACGTCTCATAACAGCATGGGACATTCACCAATACTAAGAAATGAATGTTGGCATGTTAACATTAATTGAAATCCAGTCTTTATTGGAATTTCATGAGTTTTTCCCATTCATGTCCTTTTACTGTCCAGGGCACCTCATTCCGTATCAGTTATTTGTTTGTTATTTGACAAGAAGTCCTCTGGACAGAGGTGGCCTCAGGATTGTTTCAGCTGCTTTATTGATCGTGGCTGCCACATCTTCCTCTGCACCTGGACTTGCATCTCTCAATCCTCTGCAAATTTGTGGGCCTCAGAGGCAGAGGGGCCCAGGTGCCCTTCCACAAAGCTAGGTGCCTTCCAGCCTTAAGCCTCCCTCAGTCCTGTCGCCGTCATTAGATGGAAACCTCACTCCATTATTGATGTCCTCTTTGCTTCTGTCTTTACCCTTTCTTTCTTCAAGGTGTCTTTTCCTTGTGTCCTTTATCTTAACCTAAAAACCAAGCACAAACCCAAACCAAAACAACACTCCTGCAAATGCAAGTTATTGCCAGCTTTTCCCCTTGCTAAAAATTTCTAGAAGACCTCATCTACATTCCTGCCTTCTTCCAGGGCAGGTGCTATCTCCACTTCCATCTGTGGTGATGGGAACAATGTTGCCTCCACCGAAACTGCTTTCTCTGGGGTCACCAAGGACCTCAACCTCTCTACACCCAGTGGCTTTCTCCAGTTCCCAGCCAGAGACTTTGAACTCCCAAATACACAACTTATTTGTGGATGTCTTTAGGACAGAGGTTCTTAAATCTATCACTCCCCATAACCATTTCTTTTCCTCCCTTCTTCCTCCCACTGTATCACTTATTCATGGTCAATTCATCAGTGAATTTCATTTGGGTGTACACCCACCTAACCATCACCAAGATGAAGACATAGAGTATTGCAGCACCTAGAAGGCTCCTTTGGTTCCCTTTCATTAACTGCCCCCCAAGAAACCCCTTTCCTGAGCCCCATGGCCTCTTTCAGTCAACATTACATCTGCCAACACTGTTCAGCAGCAAGCAAACATCTCTGTACAGTTCTGAAATGGAATTCATAGATGATAGAATTCTTTACCCTTATTTATTTTAAATCAATATGATGCTATAATGATAATACCTGTATTAAAAATTATTTATACTAAAATTATATTATTTTAATATGTCAATGTTCTGGTCTGACTCACCTAGAACAGGGCCTGCAGAGGACCACATAGTAAATATTTTGGGTCTGTGGGGCATGTGGCCTCTGTTGCAACTACTTAATTCTGCCTTTGTAGCAGGAAGGCAGCTATAGATATATAGGCACAATATATCAATGAATGTGTGGCTGTGTGCCAATAAAACTTTATTAGTAAAAGCAGACAGTGAACCACATTTGGCCAAAGGCTGTGGTTTGCAGATACCTGGCCTGAAAGATATAATCAGATCAGAGGCCTGTAATGCTACATAAAATCAGCAAGGATTCCACGGCTGCATTGCAGACTGACTCAGCCTTGTTGTGTCCACAACTCAAAGAACGTGCTCTAGGTTGTGTTAGTGGCATGATGTCCAGAATGGTGACTGACTCTTGGTAAAGTTCCAAAATAAGTCAAAGATTTATGCAGTGACTACAGTCATGGATAATTCAGTGCCTATTAGAAATGAGTGAGAAATGCTGTGTGTATACATATAAAAGATAGTTTGATTCTAGGTACAGAAAGATATAAAGAGGTTTTCCATCCACGTAATGTTCACAGGAGCACTGGGAGGTCAGTGAAGGGGGACAGTCCTGGATGTCTGGTGTGGCTGATCAGTGTGGCATCTTGTGACCCACACATTAAATGGCACTAGTGTCCTTGTCATTATAAGAGTGAAACAAAACAAAACACCACAAGGTTATAGAAGGCCCCTTGGAGGACAATGTAGTTTATGCTGGAAACCAAAGCTGTAGGAAGTTAAAATTTATGTCCACATGTGAAAAACATTTACGTGCACAGGTGAGAGCAAAAACTCTAAATTGCCTCATTTTACCGCAAACTGGTTAGGATTAAGTTGAATTGCATAGGCTCCCGAGAGAAACTGAAATTCTATTTATAGAAAAAGAAAGAACATTGTGGTTTTTGTTTTAGCACACTTGAGTTAGTGAACTATGGAATTTGTACCCACACAGATGTTAACACAGCTGGGCTTTCTCTCTTTTTCTTTTTCAGATTGCTCAGATGGAGAAAAAAATTGCAATCCAAAAACAGATCTTCTTAAAAATGCAGGAGGCCAATAACCCCCGGAAACTTCAGAAACAGATCCACACTTTGGAAACCCGTTTGAATCTTGTATGTAAGGGGTTCGCTGAAGTTTTGCAAACAGCTCTGTCCCCACTTGGCTGAGACCAAAGAATGATGTCTGCTAAGCATTTAGGAGAAAATACCCATTTCATTGATTGATTCAAGAGAAGGTTAACATGTAGGCCAGGAAGCCTTTTAGAATTGACTATCTACCCTGCTCCACCCACTCTGTTCTATCCACCTTAGAAAATGCTATTATTGCCTGTGCCTTCACCCCAACCCCCCACCTCACCTGGAATGCCTACTCCTAGTTCCCTGTCTCAAAAATTCTTGCTTATTTTCAAGAAGCACTTCACCAGGCAGAATTACTTAGAACTTCCTCTTCCATGGCAATCTTCTCATGTCTCTATTATAGCTTGTGTCTTTTTGTTTTGTTGATGTAGTCTCTAAGAACTCCTGATTCCCTCAATTTACAGTGACTTTTGCATTAAGCAAGATTTTCTCTCCTTTCTTATTTTTTTGAGATAGAGTCTCACTTTGTTGCTCCCAGTAGTGTCATGGTGTCATAGCTCACAGCAACCTCAAACTCTTGGGCTCAAGCGATTCTCTTGCCTCAGCCTCCCAAGTAACTGGGACTAATGTCTGGCTATTTTTAGAGACAGGGTTTCGCTCTGGCTCAGGCTGGTCTTGCACCTGTGAGCTCAGGCAATCCACTTACCTCAGCCTCCCAGAATGCTAGGATTACAGGCATGAGCCACAATGCCCAGCCCAAGCAGGATTTTCTAAATTGCAAAGTGGCTTAAGCACTCACACACAAAGAGACTGTATTGGTTATAGAACTGAAAAATCCAGAGGAGGAAGTGGGGTCTTCAGGCATAGCTGGATCCAGGTGTCCATCTCTCCTCTGGGTGGACTTCATTTGAGTCGCCTCCAGTAAGAACAGTTGCCAGCAAAAAGGAAACGTCTCTTTCCTAACACAGTATAATTTTCTTGCCTCTAGTCTTTGTTGGCTCTCTAGACTTTTCATCCTCCATGTCTGCTACTTTGTATTCTCTGATCTACATCTCCCCCATTTCCTCCTCCCTGCTCCTAGTAACTACTGTTTTGTTGCCCATCTCTATATATTTTACTTTTTTTTTTAAGATTCCACGTATAAATGAGATTATGCAATATTTTTCTTTCTGCATCTAGCTTATTTCACTTAGCATAAGGTTCTTGGGGTTCTTCCACCTTGTGGCAAATAGCAAGATATCTTTTTAAAGGCTACATAATATTCCATAGGATATATATGCAATTTTTTAATCCACTCAATATGTTGAAGGACACAAATATGTTGTTTTCAAATCTTGACTGTGGTAAATAATACTGCAATGAACGTGGGAATGCAAATATCTTTTTAAGGTAAGGATTTAATTTATTTTGGGTATATGCCCAGAAGAGAGATTGCTAGGTCTTATGGTAGTCTATTTTTAATTTCTTTAGAAACCTTTGTACTATTTTTTATAACGGCTGCACAAATCTACATTCCCACTAACAGTGTAACCAGCAACATCATCTTTTTAAAAGAAAAACTTTCTTTAAAAGCTAATTTCTAAGACATACAATAAATTCTAATCTATGGGGAGTAAAACAACGAACATATCTATTACTTTGATTTAATCATTGTTAACATTTTTCTTTATTTGCTTCACCATATTTTCTTCTGAAGTATTTTAAGGTAAATTATAGGCTTTATGATGTTTCACCCCTAAGTACTTTAATTTGCATTTCCCAAAATTGAATAAGACCAATATCACACCTTGCAAAATTAATATTTTCATAACATTACTCAATACCTAGTCCATATTAAAGTTTCTCTGGTTGGCCCCAAAATATCTTTTAAAGGTGAATTCAATCAAGATTCACATAATTGCTAAGGATCTGGATCTTTTTTTTTTTTTTTTTTGAGACAGAGTCTCACTTTGTCACCCTCAGTAGATTGCTGTGGTGTCAGCTCACAGCAACCTCAAACTCTTGGGCTTAAGTGATTCTCTTGCCTCAGCCTCCCAAGTAGCTGGGACTACAGGTGCCTGCCACAATGCCTGGCTGTTGTTGCTGTTTCATTGTTGTTTGGCAAGCCCGGGCTGGGTTTGATCCTGCCAGCCTTGGAGTATGTGGCCAGTGCCCTACCCACTGAGCGATGGGTACCATGCAAGGACGTGTATCTTAAATTTCTTTAGAATAGTGGCTGTCAGTTGTGGGTGGATTTTGCTTCCAAGTGGATACTGTCTCCAAAAGGAGACCCTTATGGTTGTCACAGCTGGGTTGGAGGTAAGGATGCTACTTGCATCTAGTGGATAGGCATTTAACATCCCACAAAGCACAGGTAAGCCCCTCACCACAAAGAATCATCTGGCCCCAAACACCAAGAGTACTGAGTTTGAGAGACTCTGTTCAAAAATAGCCACATCCCAATTTTTCTCAGGCCATCAACTTGTTCAAGAGTCCACGTCAATTGTCCTGTAGAAAGTTCTACTTTTTTGATTTGGTGGATTATTTCCTGTGGTATCACTTAGCTCATCCCTCTCTTCCCTATTAATTGCTTAAAACTGGAAGTTAGGTCTAAAAGTAGTGGAGAAATCCAGTTCGTGGCCATTTCAAGCCTCTCTGACTAGTTTTGTGTCCCTGGGGTAGGAGGTGGGGTGAGGACCTTCCAGCCCCCCAGCTTCCTCCTCGAAGCTTGTCTTATCCATAGGAATGAGCCTTGTTTTGAAACAGAGTCTTTCCAACAGGTCACTGTTCAATTTGACAAGATGCTAACCACCAATGCCAAGCTTCGGACGGAGATTGAGGATCTACGGTTTGAGAAGGCTGCTTATGACAACGTCTACCAGCAGCTCCACCGGCGCATGTCACTACAGAAGAAAACCATGAACACGGCCATTGAGCAATCTTCTCAGGCCTATGAGCAGAGGTAGGCTGGGGGTTTTCTCAGTCTGGATGTCTTCTGGCTTCTTACTCATGGGGATAAAAAGCATATACTTTGGCTTTGAAGAGCCCAGATTTTAGCATCTGACAGATCAGGGTTTAAATTCTGACTACATCACTACTACATTGTTGTAGGAGCTAAAGAAATCCTAAAGAGATGGTAGAGAGGATTACATAATATATGTATGTAAGGGAGTGCCTGGGACATAGTAATCGATAAGTAGTGATGATAGTGATAATGGTGATGGTAGTGATGATGATGATCATGAGGGTGGTGATGAAAGTGGTGATGATGATGGTGGTGGTGGTGATGCGGATAAGGGTGATAATGATAATCATGATAGAAAAATTTCCTGGGGGTGGTCTAGAGCTTATAGCTCCTGTTGTTCAGGAAAGGAGGGTTGTTTTTCTGCCCTCAGAAACCTTCATGATTAAAAAAGTGATGGTGGGCTGGGCATGGTGGCTCATACCTGTAATTCCAGCACTTTGGGAGTCCAAGGCAGAGGATTACTTCAAGCCAGGAGTTTGAGACCAGCCTGAGCAACATACTGAGACCCCCATGTCTACAAAATATAAAAAAATGAGTTGTAGTCCTAGCTACTTGGGAAGCTAATGTGGGAGAATTACTCAAACCAAGGCATCTGAGGCTGCAGTGAGCCCTTCAGCCTGGGTGACAGAGTGAGACCCTATTTAAAAAAACAAAACAATAGATGGTCGCTATCCAGGCAGGAAGTCCCTCTTGATTGGCAGGGAAAAGGAAGGCGAGGGGGGAGCGTCTGGACCCTCAGCTCTGCTCCTCCTCACCCAGGCTGGAGGCCATGGCGCGAATGGCTGCCATGAAGGATCGCCAGCAGAAGGACATCTCTCAGTACAACTTGGAGATCCGAGAGCTGGAGCGTCTCTATGCCCATGAGAACAAGCTCAAATCCTTCCTGCTCAGCAAGCTGAATGACCGCACTGAATTTGAGGAGCAGGCCAAAAGGACAGAAGGTACACTCTCCAGGTGCACAAGCTGGCACTCCTGCTTGCTCGTGCTATCTTGGTGCACATGCACGTGTGCTCCTGATCACTCTGTGTCTCTCAGGTGCCATAGTCTCCTTGTAGTAGGATTGCCAAATTTATCATATAAAATACAAGAGGCCTAGTTAAATCTAAATTTTAGGCAAACAATGAATACATTTTTACACTAAGTATATCCCATATAGTATTTGGGACTTATACACAAAAACTTATTTGTTGTTTATCTATAATTGGGACATACTGATAACTTTAAAAATTATATTCTTCAACTGAAACTCGAATTTAACTGGGCACCCTGTATTTTATCTGACAATCCTAACCTGTAGGATGTGTCCTCAGGCTGGGTGCTCCTATTGTTTAGGGGGAGACTTGTGTGTCAGGGTCCCCGAGATCATCCTGGGTTTGATGATTCACGAGGAGGACTCACAGGACTCACTTGCTGATACAGGCACACTCGTGGCTATGACGTATCACAGGGAAGAGACACAAAGCAGAAACAGCAAAGGGAAACTAGGCACAAACTTCCAAGAGGAGTCACACAGAACGCGCTTAATTCTTCTAGTGGGTAATTGTGACAATTCATATATGAAAAGAGTTATCTACTAGGGGAGCACACTAGGGACTCAGTAGTCTAAAGTCTTACTGGGGTCTGGTCATGTGGGCACACACCCAGACTCTCAGCTCTTAAGGGGAAGCAGGCATTCAGCAGAAAGCGTGTTGTCTGTACAGTCCATTTGCAGTGAGCCACTCTTACCATTCAGGGGAAGTTTTATATCAGTACAGGAAGCCACTTACCATTCAAGTTCCTACGTGTCAGCCAAAGGCAAAACTTGCAAGCAGGACTTTCTTAAAAAGCAATCTCAGACCTGCTGTGTTAACTCTCTTTTGAACAGACTGAGAAATCCGAGCTCTTCTGAGAGGCACCCCCCACCCGTGCTGTGTAGCTACATTTGTACTGTCTCTTTTGCCTTATCATTTGGACCTGTATTGCTAGAGTGTGTTTCTGAGAAAACCCCATCTTACTCTCTAAAATAACAAAAAACACCAAAAGCTTTCTTTCTTTCTTTCTTTCTTTTTTTTTTGAGACAGAGTCTCTCTGTTGCCCTGGGTAGACTGCTGTGGTGTCATCATAGCTCACAGCGACCTCAGACTCCTGGGCTCAAACAATCCTCTTGCCTCAGCCTCCTGAGTAGCTTGGACTACAGGTGCCCACCATAATGCCTGGCTCATTTTTCTACTCTTGGTAGGGACAGGGTCTCACTTTGCTCAGGCTGGTCTTGAACTTCTGAGTTCTAGCAATCCACCTGCCTCAACCTCCCAGAGTACTAGGATTACAGGCATGAGCCACTGTGCCTGGCCCAACTAAAGCTTTTAACCCTTTGGAAACTTTTATCCATCCATCCATCCATCCATCCATCCGTCCGTCCACTCAGTCACCTCCACCAGCCCAGACATACATTCATCTGTTTTTCCATCCATCAGCCATTCATACTTTGCCTGATCATCCAACCCTCCACCCACTTACTGAGCCACTAGGTCATGTGTCCTTTCTAAGTATTTGGCATATGTGATTTCCATTTGGTCCTCACAACTCTAAGAGGTCGACATTACTATTAATATGCTTCATTTGTAGATAAGGACACTGCAATTCAGATTGGACACATGACCAAGCCAAGGGCCACAGCAACTTAAGCAGCAGACCCAGGGCCCCAAAGACATCCCTTTGTCTTCCCCTCCAAGCCTGAGGGCCAGTCTTAGTACCCTCTTATCTATGCAGTGAGCAGCTTCATAATTCCACCAGTTTTGTTTTTCCTACGTCTTTTTGATTTTTGATTCTTGAATCTCCGATCCATTCTTCCTCCTCTCATGCCTGAGTCTTGTCATTGCTTTCCTTCTGGCAGCTTCTGCTAGGTCTCACCACCTCTAGCCTCCTAGTGCTCCCAGCTGCCCTTAAAGTGATCCTTCAGCGTTATGCTCTCTGTGATCTGTTGACTCCTTCATTCATCCATCCAGTGGCTCCACTTCTAGTCATTCAACACATTTTAATGGTCACTTAACCTGAAGCTAGTGCCATACTTGGGGCTGGAGACAGCACAGTGACCAACATAGCACTAGCTCTGATGTCCTGGAGCTTCCATTCTAGGTACAGAGACATGGGGGAGAAAAAACCCACTCAAATAGATGAATGCAAAGACTTCAAGTTGTGATAGAAGCTTTGGAGGGAGAAAACAAGGGACTGAGGTAGAATGCTCAGGGCCGGGTGCTCTTTTGGATGGAATTGCCACAGAAGGTTTCTTAAGAAGGGACATTCAAAGGACTCTAGTTGTGTGGGAATGGGAAACCCTGGCAGAGGGACCAGCACACACAAAGAGAAGAGGTGGGCATGGGCTAGAGCAGAGGGCAGAGGTGACGCTGAGGAAAGAGCAGCAACCACTCCAGAAAGACCTTCACTTAATCCCAACCCAGTAACTGGAGGCAGCATAAGGGATATGGTGGGGAGTAAGACAGAATCTTGTCCTCCCACAGCTGGCCTGTTAGGGAAACGAAAATAAGCAAATGTAGAAGTGAATCTAGTATCTTGGGAACCAATGAACATGATGAAAAAAAATTGATAGTGAAGGGGACTGTTTCATCTAGAGTGGTCAGGGTGGGCCTGCCACTTGGGCAGAGGCTTAAATGACACTAGGAACCTGGACCTGGGAGAACAGCAACCTAGGCTGAGGACACAGCAAGTGCAAAGAACCTGAGGTGTGAATGGGGTGATGTTCTGGAAAGAACAGAGAGAAAGCCAGTGTGGCTATAATGAGTCAATGCCAGTGACTCATTGGAAGGTGAGAGAAGACAGAAGTGTCCAGATCATGCAGGCCCTTGTAGGCTGCATTGGGGAGCACAATATTTATCCTAAGCATGGCTGGAAATCACCAGTGTATTGAGGCAAAGTAGTGACAAAGTCTTGTAGTAACAAGTTGCTGGGGAGTAAAAGGCCGCCCATCTAAAGCAGAACGCCCTGGCCACACTCCTGTAATCCTAGCACTCTGGGAGGCCAAGGCAGGTGGATCACTTGACCTGAGGCATTTGAGACCAGCCTGAGCAAGACTGAGATCCCATCTCTACTAAAAATAGAAAACCCAGCCAGGCATAGTGGTACATGCCTGCAATCCTAGCTACTCAGGAGACTGAGACAAGAGGATTACAGAGCCCATGAGTTTGAGGTTGCTCTGAGCTATGATGACGCCATGACACTCTAAGCAGGGCAAGAGTGACACTCTGTCTCAGAAAAAGAAAAAGCAGAACCACAGTACAGCACTTAATGGTCTGGCCACAGAGGTAATTACTGGATTTCTTTCTTTTCTTTTTTTTGAGATAGAGTCTTACTCTGTCACTCTATAGTCTAGGTGGAGTGCTGTGATATCATAGCTCACAGCAACCTCTAACTCTTGGGCTCATCTCTTACCTCAGGCTTCTAAGTAGCTGGGACCAAAATTAGTACCTGGCTAATTTTTCTTTCTCTTTTTTTCTTTTCTTTCTTTTCTTTTTTTAGTATAGAGGTGGGGTTTCGCTCTTGCTCAGGCTATTCTTGAACTCCTAACCTCAACATATCCTCCCGCCTCAACCTCCAAGAGCAATAATAGTATTACAAGGTGTGAGCCACCTCAACCATCTTGGATTTCTTTTTCTGTTTACTTGGATATCATTTTTTCTTCCTTCTTCTTGTCTGATTCCCACACTAAAAGCTCCATGGTCCAGGGTTGTTGTTTTTTTCAGCATTACCTAGTACAGTGTCTGACATGTAATAATGAGTGAGTAATGAGTGAAGCGTTTTTCTGCCTCCTGGAAAAAATAGAGGCCCCTCCCCAAAGCATCATAATGTTGATCGTGTCCTGTCTGCCTGGCACCAGTCTGAGGGGTTGCCTTTTAAAACTCACAGTGGCTAGTGTTTCCTTTTTCAGCTCTCAAGAGAAAGAAGCATGGCAAGAAGAAGACCAAGGGGGAGAGTTTTGAAAGCTATGAGGTAGCCCACCTCCGGCTGCTGAAGCTGGCTGAGAATGGGAACCTGAACCAGCTCATTGAGGATTTTCTGGCCAAGGAGGAGAAGAACTTTGCTCGGTTCACATACGTCACAGAGCTCAACAATGACATGGAGATGATGCACAAGAAGACCCAGAATATCCAGGTTGGGCAGCTCTTGTTTCCATAGGCCTGGGACCCCCTGGTCTTATAGTGGCCTTCCCTAGAACAGGCTCATTAGAAGGCTCCATGAGACACTCTGCAGAAAAAAAGGCCTCAAGGTCAAATCCGTTTGGCAAGTGCTATTATATTCTCCCTACATTTCCCCTATATTTTAACTTTTCAGCTGATATGTGCATTTAATATGTTCACATCCCCTCCACCCCTAGCAGTGACATTATAATCTATAGCATGTTTTATAATCCAGTGCTTAGTGTACTACAGCCCCCGCAGATGTTTTTGTACAGCCCATGAGCTAAGAATGATTTTTACATTTTTAAAGTGTTGTAAGAAGAAAAAGAGAGAGAGAGAGATCCAAGAGAGATCCACAAAGAAGAAAATCTTGTATTTATATCTGGCCCTTTGCCAGATATAACAGCTTCCTAGAATTGAAGAGAGATGGGTAATTCTTCTTTTGGAGAGACTTGATGTATATGAGCATACTAAAGGCTCTGATAAGTCCTGCAGTAAAGAAACCTGTTTACCTTTGTTGAACCCTAAATTTCCCAAATGTAATTGACTCCCTGGGCTACTTACTCCCCAGAACATAAACAAATATTCTTTGGAACTTTCTGTAAAGGAAAGAGAATAAACTCCTTACTGTAACATTCAAAACCTCTTCAAAATTTGGTTTTGACCTACCTTTGCAGACTCAGGTCCCATGATAATCCCCTGGGTACCCTCTGGCCAAAGCACCAGCTGCTAGTCACAGCTGTCCCAGGCATTTCCCTTCTCTGAGGTTTTCCTGGTGCTGTTACTTCTCCCTGCCCTACCTTTCTCTTCTGGTGAAATCTTCCTCATTACCCTTACCCAGCACAAATGTCACCTCCTCTGGGAATTCATTATTCCTTCCTCTGAGGTCCCTGTCCTCTGCTTACATAATGGGAAGCTACTTTCCTTTGGGATATGTCACTGTTTTCCAAATTCATGGGGGAGATGTGTATGTTGGCCATGTGCAAATGGACTGCAGCTAGAATAGAGGTGAAAACATTTAAATTTACTAGTGATGAGTTAATTTTAATGAGTATTAGGAAAAATACAGAGTGAACTTGTCAAGTAATGGATACTACTACTAAGGTGGCGCCTGTGGCTCAAGGAGTAGGGCGCCGGCTCCATATACTGGAGATGGTGGGTTCAAACCTGGCCCTGGCCAAAAACTGCAATAATAATAATAATAATAATAATAATGGCTATTACTTCAGATAATAAATAATAATAGAAAACAGAATAAAAAACATAATGAAATAAAATTGGTTAGTTTCAAGAGAACTCTTAATACGTAACAATAGATACTTATAGATAATAATAGTTCAGGTGGCAGGTGAAAGTGGCTCTATCATTTAGGATTGGCACAGGAATGATAAATGGAGGAAAGTTTTTTTAAAGGGAAGATTTACTAAGGTCTGAGGAAATTAAGACTGAAGAGTGCAGCACCACCAAGAGCAGGCCCCAGAATGGTCCAGGGGAGGGAGAAGTTTCTGGAACCAGGAGAGCGGTGTTGGGAAAAGGACCTGGCTGCTACCTGCTACCCCTGCTGGCCAAAGCACCAGCTGCTGCTGTACCCTCCCAGGAGGAAGGAAACCGAACGGGGGATCTGCAGGGTGGGGTAAATACCTCCTTCTCCTTCCACCCTTTAATCTGGTGCCTCCCATTAACAGTGCCCAACAGGAACCAAACTGGACCAGCGCTCAAGGGCCCCATAAGGGCAGCCCTGCGGATGTTGAGATGGGGAGGGAGTAGGTGGATCCAGACAAAGGGAGGATGTCCTGCTTGGTGTGTGGCTCAGTGTGTAGGGGGGTGGGGTAGAGAGCTGCTCTCTGCCCACCTGGGGATCTTCCAGAGGACAGGCATGAGGGTGCACTCTCTGTGCACCCTGAGGGAGGCATAGGAAATGGTTCTTCTACGTAGCTGACCTTAGCCTCCCCTTCACCTTGGGGGTGTTCTCTCCTGTCATCCTTCAGCCACACTGCCCTTCCTCCAGCATTAGGACAAGTGTGGGTGTGTCTGCTTTGGGCCTTGGTCTCCCCATCTGTAGAATGACATCCATTGTACTTGGACTAGAAGAGTAGCTTCCAAACCTTTCTATAAAACTACAAAACATTTTTTTGGAATGAATGTTATTAGGAAACTCCAATACATAAAACAGAATAAAGGGAGCAATACTGGATGAAACAGTGATGGAAAGGGCACCTGGGTCCCTACTTTTTGCCCTTTTGTGGAATCTCTGCTCCTATTGGGTTCAGGTTCTGGGCAAACTTTTTTTTATTCTTCATTAAAATCAATTAGGATTCTAACATCTGATTTCACCCTTACCTAGATGGCTGGGATCGGAAGTCATAAACTGGCTGAATCCAGCATTCATTCTCCTTTTGTTTGGTCTTCTCCACTCTATTAATTTTATTAGTTGCCAACTTTTAAATATCAGGGTATTCTATACGAAAATATGAATTTCTGGTTTCTCTTGGAAAATCAGATCTGACAACCCGGGCCCACACTCCCGCGAGAATCTGAGTCCCTATGAACACACCGGGCTCTGGCTCCTTATTTTACCAACACCAGCGGCGTCTGATTTGTTCCGAAGCCCGCAGAGCCCCGTGGGCCTTTTGAGTTTGTAACCACTGTCCTCTGGTGGCCATCTGCGGTACTGCAGGGAAGGTCTTTGCGGACCTCTCGGACCCTATTTCTCGTTTTCTGGGTAACCGCGCCTCACTAGGATAAGCCTTCAGACGAGGAAGAAAGGAATATCCCTGAACACAATCAGCCTTGACTTTCCCCATTCCCTATAGCAACATAACTTGTCTCCCTGATTAGGACAAATGTGTCTGATGAAAGAGGGGCAAGTCTGTGCTCTTTCTTCAGCCTCAGTTTCCCAATCTGTGGAATTGGACCAGAATAGTGCCTTCCAAACTCCTTGTTTGAGTTACAAAACTGTACCTTTTGGGGCTTAAATAGAACCTCAGATGTCTATTGAATGAAGTCTATAAAGCATGAATTTCCAACAGGAAGATTTAATTTTTTAAAAAATGTTGAGAAACTCATTATAGAAAAATTGGAAACTGTGTAAGGATAGAAGGAATTTTTAAAATCATCCACTATCCCATTGCCTAGAGACAATCACAGGGAGCATTTTCCTTCTAACTTTTTCTTTGGGTTGTGCTTTTAAAATTTAACATAGTGCTTATCATTTATAGTATATATAAAGTTGTATATTCTGGTTTAAAAAACATTCTTTTGGTTATTTTTCATCCTGGAAGTATTTATTGGTTACTTACTGTGTGCCAGATACTGTTCTAGGCATTAGTAATGTACAGAGAACACAATGACAAAAAAAAAGAAAAGAAAAAGAAAAAGAAAAAACAGCCCTTGTGAAGCTTCTATGCTAGCAGGGAGAAATAGATGATAAATAGCAAGCGTTAACTGTGTAAATTACAGAGTAAATTAGAAAGTGAGAAGCAATGTGGGTACAAAGATGAAATAGAACAGGTTTGGGACAGTTGAGGAGTTAAGAGTTGAGCAAATTTGCAGGTGAAGGAGCAGGCTGCCCAGATCTCTGTGAGGAATAATGTTCCAAGTAGAAGAAATAGCATGTGCAAAAGTCCTGAGGCAGGAGAATTCATGGAGGTCAGGATGCCTGGAGTGGAGAGAGAGAGACATGGAGGGGGGAGGAAATTAGTCTCAGAGGTGAGGGTTGTTGGGCACATTTCCAGAAGGGGTTTTGCAATTACCCCAAGAGAGGGGAGCCCTGGGAGAGCTCAGAGCAGAGGAGCAGCACCAGGAGCAGCACCATCTGATTCAGGGTAACATTTTCATTTGGAAAATGTTAAAAAAAAGTATGAGTATGAACCCTAAATCAGAAAGAATCCCATCACCTGGATCTGGAATTGCTTAGTCTTTCTGGTTAGAGTTCTTTCTTGCCCTTTTTTTCTACCTTGAAAATATTGGAAGATTTTCCTGAATTGCCTACATTTTCCAAAATAAAAATTACTTTTCTAATTACAAAGGTAACATATACACACCTGTGGGAAAATATAGGCAATTCAGAAAAATATAAGGAAAAAGTAAAAATTACCAAGACATTACCACTGGGAGATAATTAACATTTTGACAACATCCCTTTATGATGTGCACAGGCACACACATTCACACCCAGATACCTAGATGCTTATTTATAGTAGTAGGATCATGCTGTTTTGTAAACTTCTTCCCCCAACAATTTACCATAGATACTTCCCAACATCTTCTATGTTCTATGCTCCTTTTAATGGCTTCTGGGGACTCTGGAGTCTCTGTAGTAGAATCACAAGCTGGTTCTTCAAAATGCAAATTCCCCAGGCCCTATCTCATACCTACAGGCCTACATTCTTTGCAGATGGACCAGGAATCTGGATTTTAGCCATATTGTTATTTGAGATCCCCCCCCCCTTGTATAAATGTACTATCATTGATTTCACAGATCTCTTATCAGTAGACATTTGGATTGTTGCTAACTGGGGGCCATTAAAAGTTACAGCAGTCTTGAGAGTCCACCTTTGCCTGTTTGTTCTATTCTTTCCACAGGACAGATCCCTGGGGATGGAATTGCTCAAAGGATGTGTGTACCTTTTATATCAGGACATGTCATTCAAGCCATGTGGTTCTCAAAGCTGGTCTCAGAGCAGCAAAATCAGGACCACCTGGGGACTTGTTAGAAATGCACATTCTTGGGCCCCACCCTAGACTTGCTACATCAGAAACTCTGGGAGTGGGGCCCAGCAATCCATGCTTTTTACAAGTTTCCAGGTAAATCTGGTTCTTGCTACAGTTTCTTTTCTTCTCTTTGAGCCACACCATCTAGCACAGTAGCCACTTGTCATGTGTGGGTATTTAAGTTAAATTAATTGAAATTAAATACCGTTAAGAAATTAGTGCCTCTGTGGCACCAGCCATATTTCAAGTGTTTAATAACCATGTGGGCCAGGTGACTACAGTATCAGCAATGACAGAGATGACATTGCCACCACCAAAGAAAAACTCTGTTGACTATGCTGTTCTAGATAAATTTCCAGGAAGGGTAAATCACCGCCCCCCCATCCCATTCACCTCACCCTCCTTTTAATTAAGAAAACATCAGAAAGAGCCTCCATAGACATAAGAGGAGCCCAGGGTCTGGGGATCCTTGAATTTAAATCCTCATTAACTCCTCAAGGTATAGCAGGTGTGGCAGGGAAGGAGACTCCCCATTTTAACTCATGTTCTGATTCTCTCCTGAGCAGAATGAGATCATCCACTTGCAGTCCCAGCAGAAAATATCCCATGATGATAGCCGCTCCATCCTGAAACAGCTCGAGGTAAGACCAGGATGCAGAGGGAGGGACTCAGGAGCCTCCCTTGCCTGTCTGTCTGTCAGGCATTCTGTCAGCTGGTTCTCAGGGGCAGAAAGATGTCCACCCCATGACTTGAGACTGGCCTAAGTCATATGCATACATGTCCTGACCTTCTGTCACAGGCAGTCTCTGCTACAGGTATTGCAGCAGAATTTCTTCTCTTCATTCTAAAGACTCATCTCCCCAGTTGGACAGTCTAGCCCAGGCCTTTGGGCCTGTAATTTCCTCCCTAATGGGCTCATTCCAGACCTTTTCCTCAGTCTTTCTCTCTCTTTCCTGGCTGTGTCTTGTTCTCAATCATTACTAGTAAGTGCATATAGGTTTTTTTGTTTTTTTTTTTTTTGAGACAGTCTCATTTTCTCACTTTGTCACTGTGGGTAGAGTGTTGTGGCATCATAGCTCATAGCAACCTCAGTCTCTTGGGCTTAAGCAATCCTCTTGCCTCAGCCTCTTGAGTAGCTGGGACTATAGGTGTCCAGCACACTGTTTTTGTTTTTTTTTTTTTTTTGAGACAGAACCTCAAGCTGTCCCCCTGGGTAGAGTGCTGTGGCATTACAGCTCACAGCAACCTCCAACTCCTGG